GCCAACCACAGGTTCAGACAGTCATGTCAGCTTGAAACAGTCTGGGTGTATGCATAGGCACCAAGGGTCCTGAGGAGCTGGAGGGCCGGGGAAACGAAATCATCGGTGATAAGACCCAGTTGAGGGTGTTTGCCCTTCCGTCTCCTTCCCTCACTCTCATCTCTCTCATGTGTACACATGTGCTATCATTAAAGACAAAGAGAAAGGGGCTAACCCCACGGTGTAGAGGTGAAGTGCTGTGCACAGGGAGCTGGATCCCACGTAGCTGACCTCCTGAATCCTACCCCACAGTAGCTTAAAAACTACACTGAAGCACATGTGCCCAGTGCCCAAAGTCCTGATGGGAAGAAGAAACGGAAGAAAAGGGATTGTGGCATGACCACACCCTACTGGAGGTAGTTCCCTCTCTCTCTCTGGTGAGTGTATGTACCCTCTGGCAATTTTATAAAAAAATAAAAAACAAACACAAAAAACAGCAAGTGGCTCTTGCCAGTAAGAAAGCATTAGAAAAAAATAGCTTTCAGTCTCATAAGAAGTAATTTCAAAAAGCCAGTAGAAAAACAAAATTAAAATACAAGTTTATATTGGTGTAAAATTTTTTGAAATTTATGCATAGTTTTCTTCATAATGCAGGTTTTTTTCCATAGACTTTTTGGAGCCTCTGCTCAGATACCTGCTAATAATGATGCAACTCCTTACATTAAGAGCCAAGAACTGAGCAAACTAAAAGACTGAGGCAGTCAGTAATGGCATGGTAGTTAAAGTGACTGGATCCTACATGGCCAGCTGCCGTGGTCTGAGTCCTAGACCCCACAGCTTGAAACACACACCAGGTGCATGTGGAGTAGGGATTTTGCATGCCTAAAATACCAAAAAGAAGAAGAAACAAAGAAGAGATTGAGGTTTAAAAATCACCGTGGGACTTGTTTCTCATCTTCTCTCTCTCACTTTCTCCCTTTCGCCAGCAAGTGCATGTGCCCTCTGGCAAATTCAAAAACAAAAAGATGGAGATAGGGCTGACCCTGAGGCTTAGTGGTTAAGGAAACCAGATCCACATGGCCTACTGTGGTTTGAATCACAGGCCCAACAGATGAAAATACATGCTGGCTGAGAACAAGCAGTTAGTGTAATGGCTATGTCACTGGACTCCCACATAGTCGACCGCGGTTCACATCCCGGATCCGGTGGCTTAAAACTCATGCCGGGCACGTGTGTGTGCGTGCCCAAGATCCCGAGAGGAGAATGGAGGAGAAGGGATTGAGGTGTGACCAGCCCCCCTGGGGGGTGATTTCTCGCTTTCTGTCTCTATGTCTCTGTCTGTCTGGCGAGTATCCTGTACTTTTGGAAATTCTATCACCTAAAAAGAATGAAAAATGAAGACATGATAATTCTTTGTAGCTTATGTGTTTTTGGTTTTTGGTTGTTTGTTTTGTTTTTAAATAAGAAAACCCTCTGAAACTACTGGACAGGTAGTGTTCTGGGGAAGAGAAAGAGGAAAATGCTGTCTACTATCAATTAAGTGTAAGTGAGACCACAGGGCCGTTTCTTCCTTCCCCCTTCAAAGGCTGGATTCTGTCCAAGCCAGTCAGTGTCCCTGAGTTAAGGATCGTCTATTCAGGTTCAATTCCGAGGACCTGCAAAGGCAGAGGTACTGGGGGGAGGGGCTTTCCTAGTGTTCTGTAAGTACGGACAATCAAATCAAAGATTAACCGATAAGTCACTGACCAGGTCAAAAGGCAAGGGTGGCCCTATAACCTACTGGTTAAGAATTATATCCCAAATGATCAATCCCATTGGTTTCAGCCTTAGCCCTGAGAGCTTAAGAAACACACCAGGTGCATGTGCATGTCCCAAATCCTTACAGGATGGAGAAATGGAGGAGAAAAGGTTCTGGTTTGATTACGCCCCACTGAGGAGCTTTTTCCTTCTCCCTGTCTTTAGGGATTACATACACACTTTGGCAATAAAAGAAAGGAAGAAAGATTCTACAAGTTCGACTCTGAAGTCCTGTAAAAGTCATGGAATCCAGTATTTATGCCAATTCAATCTATACCAGTTAAAGCTCACATCAGTGTGACCTCCCTAAAAACCATGCAAATGCTTCCACAATGGCTGGCCTCTTACAGTGAAAGAGATGAGCATGTCCTAAGGTGTACATCTGATGTTAAACTTTCTGACATACTGCAGGTCATCTCCCTGTCCTGTGGGTAGTAACCGAGCCCAAAATAGAGGCAAACTGGCAGAGCAGACAATCACTCCAGACAATTCAGTTTTCGTGACTGAAAAGGACATATATGTAAATGTACAGAAAAAGACCTAGAAGGTTACACACTGAAGGGATAGGGACAGAAGACAGAAGTGAAAGCTTGTAAAGGGAGTTTTCATTTACTTAAGATACATTGTATTCAGGGAACCAGCAGTTAGTGTAATGGCTATGTCACTGGACTCCCATCCCCATCCCCATCCCGGACGGACCCGGTGGCTTAAAACCCATGCCGGGCGCGTGTGCGTGCGTGCCCAAGATCCCGAGAGGACAATGGAGGAGAAGGGATTGCGGCATGGCCATCCCCCCTGGGGGGGGGTGATTTCTCACTTTCTGCCTCTGTCTCTGTCTGTCTGGCAAGCGCATGCACCCTATAGCGAAAACCTCTCCCCCCCCTCAAAAAAAAGATACATTGTATTCTTTCAACTTTTCATGATCAAAAATTTTCTTCTGTAATTTAAAAAATAATTTAGAAATGTGATTCTGTTTTTCATAAAGATCGAATGGGGAACCAGCAGTTGGCGTAACGGCTATGTCACTGGACTCCCACGTAGTCAACCACGGTTTGAGTCCTGGACATGGTGGCCTAAACTCACGCTGGGTGCATGCCCAGGATCCCGAGAGGAGAATGGAGAAGGGATTGCGGAGTGGCCATCCCCCCTGAGGGGGGTGATTTCTCTCTTTATGTCTCTCTGTGTCTTTCTGGCGAGCACATGGCCCTATAGCAAAAACTTCTCCAAAAAAAAATCAAGTGGACTCACAAGGATGTCCAAGAAAATTAAGTCCCATTTTGCAGAAGTTTGTCTACTAGATAACTACCATATAAGAATAACACTATTACTCTATCCTACAGAATAAAAATTAATACCATTAGATCATCAGAAAAGTCATGACGTATTTTTCTGTTTTTCTATGCAAAAATGCGTCACGACTTTTTCAACAATCCAATAGTAACATTACTAAAAATGTCCATGTAAACTGTCACCCACTACTCTCTATTCACTACTTGGATTATACAATATTAGTCACCAGTTTTGAATATCCCCTGCTAAAATTAAATCTATTTTAACAACCTGTTTTTCAATTTTAAAACCTCATTAAAAAGAATAGGCTGGCAAAGCTAAAAAACCATTAAGACAATGTTTATAATAACCCATAGTTGTAGAAAATGTTTAGAAAAATACACATATACACAAACATTGTACATTTCATTGGGGTTTATGTCTGATTTCCTTAACAGAAAAAAAATTCCCAACCTGAAAAGCCAACTACCCAAGATAATTAAGTTTACTGTCATTTTAATGAAGTGTTCATATTCTCTGTTTGTCAAGAAACTTTAGGACTAATTAAAGTAAAATTTTTATACAACTATGACTCCTAATAAAAAAGGGAGGACACAAACTACACTCTGAAAGCAGCATACTCCGTCTATAATGTGAAATATAAACAGTGTCATTATATATTTAAGCAAGGCAAAATATAACATCTTTAAGGGATATAATTGTTGGGTTGGCCCCATAGCCTAGTAATTAAGGGAGTAAGATCCAACATGGCCAACTCGGATTCAAATCCCCACCCCAGAAGCTTGAAAAAAAACTGTGCACATAGGCCTGCAGACCCCAGATACTGGAAGGATAGAGAAATGTAGGGATTGTGGCATGACTACTCCCTTATGGGATACTTTCTCCCTCTCCCCATCTTTTCTGGCAAACACTTGAGCCCTCTGGCAATTAAAACTTAAATTTGTCTATTATCTCAGGGTGTTTTTTAAATTCATTTGTTTAATTTCATTTATCATCATTATCTATTTAACCAGAGAGAGAAGAGAGAGACGGAGCAAGGGAAAGTAAGAAAGCAAGCCACCAGGCTCAGGACTCAAACCTCTATTAGCCATGTGGGAGTCTAGCACCTTAACCACCATGCCACCTGCTGGCCCCCCTCAGGATCTTAAAAAATTTAAACAGTCATAAAATTTATCCCATTTTAACTTTAGTTGATTTTTCTTAAAAAAAAAAAAAAAATACTAAGGAAAATCATTTCAAAAATGGCCAAAATGACCATAAATTATGCAACGAAAATCACACAAATTATTATAGGGGTAAGAATTTTTGTTCAATCTAGCTTATGAACCCACAATATAGTATAATTCTTTTTTAGCTATGAAGACATATGGCACATCTCATTTCCTACTCTTCCTTTATCAGACTACTCCTCTTTTCTTCATCTTTATTGGTGTTTCAGTTTCCTCCCACATTTCTTCATACATACAACAGAAGAACCAGCGCGAGTTTATACTGCCATTGCACACCCCTTAACACGCAAAACAGCGTACCATTCACACTGTCCTATACCTTACTTCTTCACTTTATAACACATTTTTCAAATAATTCCTTGTCAGTACACAGAAAACTTCTTCAGTCCTTTTCTTCTGGACCTGATAATGACTTCTTTTACATTTTTAGTCTATCTTTTTCAAGCCAACCTTTAACAACGTTCTGTTCAGGAAAACTACTGATTATTCTAACTAATTTCCTTTCCCCAACAAGATCTTAAAACAAACTAGACTTAAGGTGTCTCAAGGGCTAAGTTTCAGAGAAAGCAGCTAGTCTAAGTTGCATCCATTTAAGAATGTTATTTTTCCCAACAGGGAAAATGAAAATATTCCACAATTTTCTCCTCTGATCATTCAAAACCAAAACCAAGAATGTGAAAGAATATTATCTTCAACTGAAATTACCTTTAATTTCGAGGACAGGCGTTAATAGTCAAATCAACAATGACTATAAAAGTTTCTTCACTTCTTGTGCTTTTCTTTCACTGTAAAAGAAAACATCGATTTTTAAAATTTTATTATTATTATTATTATTTACAAAGAATCCTAGAAAACCTTAAAGTACAGCATGGCATTCAAATGGCAAGAAATCACAACCTGACGGGATCTTCCGTCCGGCAGGTGGGACATCGAGGCTTTTACCTTTCGGGACTCCCCTCACTGTGATATTAACAGGATGACTTCTACACCAGCGGAAAAAACTCTGCGGCGTTACGTGTTGGAAGTGGCACGCCAAGGGCCAGAGCGTCAAGACCCTCTCCAGAGAACCCAGCGTCACTGGCGGAAAGGGATCTGGAAACGCCAGCCTCGGTGATGACAGGGGGCGCGAGGCGAGGATCGGGGACCTGGGAAAACCCGGGCGACAGTCCGGGTCGCACGCTCGCCGCAGCGCGCTCGCCACGGTCCAAGCCCCGGAACCACCACCACTAACGGAACCA